ATTCAGGAGGATTATATCATCTTATTTCATATGGTAAATTTATAAAACCTATTACATACATTTCTGTTTCTCACAGTAAATTTATATAATCATCCAACCCAGAAGCTACACTTTTCATAAATGTCCTTTGAATATGATTAGCCTTTGGAAGGAAGTTTGTCTAGAAGCAGTTTATAATGACATGGGAAATTGTAATGGGCCTCAAATGGGTCCACTTGGAAATTCTCAAACTCTGTGGCATAAGTTAAAACTCTAGATCTTAGTATTTTAATTAAAAAATAAGATGTGTTCTGCTCCAATGGTGCCATAAGACCCCTCATTATATACTCTGGAGATTCCTCAAATTTAACGATTGGCCAATATATGGCCATTAGTGTATATCTCCTAAAGCCGTTCAGGGGACATTGATAAAAGACATCTTTTTAAGATATGTGTTTTGGAGGCACTCTTCTAAGAATCTGGTTACACTCAAACACTAAGAGACAGAAACTTCTCTGTTTCTCTGCCATCCCAAGCTCGGTTGCTTTCTATCTTCACAATGGCTTCCTCTAAGACTTTCAGGATCAAGACATTCCTGGCCAAAATACAAAAGCAGAATCGGCCCATTTGCCAGTGGGCTTGAAAACTGGTAATAAGATCAAGTACAATTCCAAGGGAAAACATTGGAGAAGAACCAAGCCGGGACTGTGCGAAGCCCTTAGCCATCATGTAATGGAACGCACAACCACCTTTGCCTAGGCCAGCGGTTCTCAGCCTGTGGGTCTCGACCCCCCTGGGCCCTTTCATAGGGGTCACCTAATACATCCTTCATATCAGATATTTACATTACGATTCACAACAATAGCAAACTTATAATTATGAAATAGCAACGAAAATAATTTATGGTTGGGGGTCACCACAACATGAGGAACTGTATGAAAGGGTCATGGCATTAGGAGGCTTGAGAATCACTGGCCTAGACTCACTTGCTGTCTGTCATACTGAGTTTAAGACTTTGCCCCCATCTGATCAAGTGAATTTGTATTGGCAAATCTGGTTTCTTCCTTGGTTCAGATGCTTCTGCATTAATAAGTTAACAAATATATAATGTAAGGCCATTGGTTTGGGAAAAAAAGAGAAACTCAAGTTTGGAGGGCAGTGAAACAAGTATCCTCAGAACTTCTGGTTTTACAATGAAAAACATAGGTCAATTTATAATTCATCAGTCTAAAAATCAAATATACTACCGTTAAAATCTAAGAAATAAATAAGTTCAATTTAGAAAAAATGGTCAAAACATAAAAGATGAGAAAAAAACATTAATTCTAGACCAATTGGCGATTAGAAAAGGTTTGCCATAGGACCATAAAGACCAACCAGTTAAAGTACCCCCCTCCCCACACCAACCAAAAATAATATTCAACTATGACAAATGCTCCAAGCAGCACCAACCAGAAATCTATTATTTTCCTGGAGTGGATTAAGAAAGAGTAATCTAGAACCCAATCCAGCCAGAAGGGATAAAGAGAACACAGTTTACCCAGTACAAAGACAAAAACTATAAAAAATTATCCTGGAGAGCCCCCAAAACACTAATTTGAGTATCTAAAAAGGGAGTCATTTAAAATAGTTCTAATAAGGAGCATTTTGAAGGCTTCGAACATGTAATTATAGGTTTAGAAACCGTATCTGGTAACCCAGTTAATTTTGGATGGTATAATTACAGGACTGTAGTGGTTTCTATTCCCTTAAAGAGTTTCAGTCTTGGAAACCTAGAAGGTCAGTTCTACCCTGTCTTACGGGGTGGCTCTGAATCGGAATTCACTCACTGACAGTTGACTTTTGAATATAGTCCCTCAAGTTATGACTATGCAGATGGCAGCCCAACATGAAACCACTACACCACCAGGGCTCCTATCCCTCAGGTTAAACAAAGATGTTTATTAATAATTGCATGCTTTGAATCACTGCAGGTTTGCAGCCCATTTACATCACTAGGCCATTAGAAAACTGAAAAATAAATAAATAGTTCATTCATTCAATACAGTTGAACACATATACAAGGGGACTTCCAAATGTTCATGGAAAGTATCCCCCATCGTATAATTCTATTTGTCAGGAACCTTTGGAAGATACCTGGCATAACAATTCTACAGCGATCTAATTGTACATGGATATGGAATTATATGGAAGAGTAATTCGGAGCTATCCCTACCTGGGATTTAGGTTGTTCCTTTACATGCATATGAGTTGTCAAGAATGAGTACTTTATTTGAATTCAAAGTCTTATTTAGGAGAATAATAGAATCTCACTTATTTTATATGAGGCATTACCTTTTTATTAATTAATTGTATTAA